GCATAAAACAATTGCGACAGTGATTGTGTTTATTACCCTTGAAAAAAAAAAAAACACTACATAACATCAAAGATGAAACAAGATTCAGGTTCTGCAATTCCAGAACAAGCCATTACATCAATTGCAGAAGATGATTGTAACCCTCTATGGATCATGGACGCCTAAATAAGCCGCACAAATGCCTCACTCAAATCCTCTAGCGACTCGGGGGTTCATTGCTTTACTACGCACCAAATATAAACCGCGCCTCTACTCATCAGTCACGCATCCTCTTGATGCAGATTGCACGTTTTTTATGTACTGAAATTTAAGAAGCCGATGAAGAAATGGCGTTACAATAGTTACAGAAAAAAAAAATAATAATAATAATAAACAATAGCCATAGATCTTTATTTTGAGCCCATAGTTATGTACCTTGTAAAGAACCCCTTTGTCTGCCTTGTAGGGAGGGGGGCTCCAATTCTTTCGTCGCTCTTCCAATTCCTCATCTGTTAAATGGACGTCCATCCTCTTTTACTGAATGTCTACGGTAATTATGTCTCCATTTTGAACAAGACCAATTGGACCACCTTCCTGCAAATTTTTGGATTTCACATTATTCCTGACATTAGAAACGAGAATATTACAACAGAAAAGAATTAATTGTTCGAATTGATTCATAAAGTAACATACCTGTGCCTCAGGACATATGTGTCCGACAACATATCCATGGGAACCACCAGAAAATCTTCCATCCGTAAGCAATGCAACATCCTGCAATTTTATATACGGTATTAATGAAGAAAAGCAGGAAAACGCGTATCACAAATTTTGGCGAATGCAACTTTAGCTAAGAGGTGCGAGGAAGAATCGACCGAGCAAAATAGATAACGTGCTTGTTTGGCCCAATTTGAATTTCTTGAAAAAGATATTTTCTTGAACACTCCCAACTTTGGAACTTCTTGAAAAAAGAGGCTTTTTACCCTCATCCAGCCTTAAAAGCCAAATTTATCTTTTGTGTTTAGCCCGACTGACTAGGCCAAACAAGTACATCATAGTCGAAGAAAACGCTTGTTCAAACCCACCCACCCCAACACACACACACACAAAAGCAAACACACCCCAAGAGATATAATCGATGTATATTCATTCATAATGAGAATACGAACGAGAAATCAATGAAGAAAAAGTAAACCATCAAAGCTCAGCCTAAGCAGATCATACCTTTCCTAGACCGGCTCCCATTATTGCACTGGTTGGTGTCAGCATCTCAGGCATGCCTGGTCCCCCCTTAGGACCCTCCCCTCTAATCACTACTACTTTCCCCTGCAATAAGTAGCTCCATGAAGATGAATTGACCAGCTCTCAGTAACAAGAGTTCCAACACGGTAACACTTTTTGCAAAGTGGCAATAAACTGGATAGTCCATCCAACATTCGAACTGAACAAAAAATACATGAATCTCTCACCTTAAAACTCATTGGATCTTCTGAGATAGCTGAAATCATGGACTCTTCTCCTTCAAAAACAAGAGCAGGACCTAGAGGACAAATTTTTACAATAATTAACTAAAGCCCAAAAAAAAAAACCTTCAAACTGATGAAAGTAAGAAAACAAGATTCTACATGTGCACACAAGAAACATTTAATTATAACATAAAAAATACTCACATGAGAAAAACAGTCCTTCCTTTGCAGTTATTTTTGCAACAGAGCCCTCTGGTGCAAGATTGCCATACAATATTTGAATGTGACCAGTTTCTTTGATGGGGTTAGACAAAGGTCTTATAATTTGCTAGAAAAAAAAAATACAAAAGAAAGAAATGTGTCTCATCCTCAAATATCAAGTAGCAGCAAACCCAAAGAAGGAACAAATTACATCATTGAAGCACATTAAGATTGGACGGGGCCTACCTGACCTTCTGCCAAAGAAGGGAATAGCTTTGCATTTTCACCTAGGGTCTTTCCCGTGACTACAAATTAAAGAACTAATCAGAATAAGCATCTTAGATGGTACACAACCAAATATTATGATATTTGACAATAAAAGTCAAGAACCTATTACCAGTAATACAATCCCCATCTAACAATCCAAGCTCCAGTAGGTAGCGAATGACAGCAGGTGTGCCTCCAATCTATGAAACAGTGTTTCATCAATTCAGTAAAGTAAATGGCAGTGAACTAATACAATTCAAAGTGATAAGACAATCGTGCAAATATTAATGCATATACCTTGTGCAAATCCTCCATGACGTATTTTCCACTAGGTTTCAGATCTGCTAGGAAAGGAACCTCATCACTAACCTTTTGGAAATCATCAAGATGTAGTTGCAACCCAACAGACCTGCCAAGGTTCTAATATCACTCAAAGGTACCCCTAAGATGAAAGTCATGCTGCTAAGACTTTGTGTGTCAACTGTCAAATATTGTCAATCCCAAAATGTTCAAAATCAAAAATTCATTAAAAAATCACAAATACTTTTTTAGTAGGCGTAATTTCAGTTTAGATGAAATTATGCAAAGTCAAATCAAAATTATACGAATTCTCTATTTAAATTTTTAACATATTAAATTGTAATCACATATTTTGAATCAAAACTATTCAGTAATGATTCCAAATGATATACATATACACACACATTAATTATATATTACTATATGCATACATGCATTTATTACTATTACCGTGTTCGAGAACAAATTTTCAAGCTTAAAGTTATGCATTTGTATTTATTATTATTTTAATGCATTTTTGAATTATGTCATATTATTCGTCCAATCACCCATAAACTGATCTAATCTAAAAACATAATAAATCTCAATTAAAATTATATCTCTCATTTATGTCAATATTTTTAATGCTAGCTATTTTGTACATTGTGCTTTTAGAGTTGTATTATACAATTTTTTGACAAAAATACCCTTAATGTTATAACTTTAGTTATCTTTTCCGTTACTTACCATTCACATGCATCTACCATATATTTTCTTATATTCTTTAATTATAACAAAATATTTGTAAAAAAAAATATATTCATTATATATTATATATTAGATTAATATAATAAATAAATTTTATTTCATTTTATTTTAATTAGTAAAAATTTGTTAGTTATTTTTAAAAAAGACTAGTATATTCATTATATGTATGAATTCACCGATCAAAATAATATTAAAATATACTTAGATGAGTAATATTACGTCACATATTTGCCGGAGGTATTTCGGGAAAAAAGAAAATCAACAATGATTTCCGTATTTCTTATAGTTGACCTTGAATGACAAGAACTAGAAGTCGCAATAAATTTCTATATTTATATTACATACTTAGTATTGCACCCGTGCGATGCACGGATTAAATATTTAAAATATTAAAAATATGATATATATATATATATATATATATATATATATATTATTAAATTTTACATATAAAAATGAGATTTTATTTTATTTATTTATTTATGTTATTTAATAATTAAGTTGCTTTGCTATGATAAAATTATAAATTCAAATATTTATAATTAAAATAAAAATTGATATTTAAGTTGAGTAATTACTAAGAATAAAAATTGTATGAAAATTTTAATACAAAATAAAACCAAAAAATATTAAATGGATTATTATTGGTTAATATTAATATTTTTACGTATATATTTTTTGAAAATGAAATACGGAGTAACATATAATTATAGATTTTTATTATAAATATGTAATCTAATACGTTTAAAAATAATGAAAATAGAATCATACAATTTAAATTTATGTTTTAGTGGTATCCACTAAATTGTAATATGCCACATGGGCATTCAATAATATTAATATGTTAAAATTATTCTAGTATGTCACCTGTACATTACACAGTATTAATTTGATCGATTATATAAGAATATACTCTAATAATATTAATCGATAATATATTATATTAACCAAATGATATGAATATATCATTTTAAATAAATTCATTATTTTTTGGAAAACAATAAATTCAACATAAAACATGTATAAAGAACTATATAATTGAACTTATATATTGTGATGTACAAATATCCTACACATATAATTAGTAGAAAAACTGCACATAAATAAAAAAATATAAATTAAATCACTAATTTTCATGCGTATAATATTTGTAAAATAGATTTATTCCACTAACATTTTTACATCATTATAATATCTATTTTATATTAAATCAAATATTAAGAAGACTTAGAATATAAAATTATATCTCAATTCAACAATATAAAATATTGGTCTTTCAAATATAAATTACAATTAAAAAATTTAAAAATATTTTCTGAAATCAATATTTATATCAAATTAATATTATAAATAACTAATAATATATATTTCAATTTCTACTTAACTGGGCCAATCCACCTATATACATATCATAATGTATATATTATATAAAACCCAACGTTTAAGCCCAAATTTACAGCCCAAACCCGACCCAAACCCACCATATAAAAACCAAGCAACCCGGCGCATCGTCTCTCTGTCTCGCAACCTCTCTCGACGTCTCCTGCTCTCCACCATCGGCGTGTCCAGCTCTCTGCCCTCGGCGATCTCAATGTCTCTCTGTGTGTCGCAGCCTCTCCGGTTCCGGTTCTCCGCCCCCAGCGTCTCCGGCTCTATGCCCTCAACGCTTTCATGTTCGAAGACTCTCAGCATACCTGTGAGGCAATCCATCGAACAGGTGGTGTGTTTGAACCACTTCATTGTAAAATACATGTTCGACTTTTACTGCAATTCCTCATTATTCACTCCCCACATTAGAATTAGGGTTAGGGTTAAGGGTTTCACCTATCAATTTTCCTTCATTTTTCTCTGTGTAATATTAATTTTTCTCCGTGTAAATAGAACGCGTAATCGCAAATAGTTGCTATTTTAGCCAAAACTTTTAATTGTTGCAATGTGTCACAGGCTAAAACTTCTAATTTTAGCCAAAACTTCAGCTGGAATTGCAACTTGTCATGAAGACTTATTTATTTATTAGTAGGCCTTATTTTATCATCTGATCTTTACTGGTTTCTTCTAGGGTTGGCAATGGATACTGGAGGCAATTCATTACCATCTGGACCAGATGGGAAGAAGCGAAAAGTTAGTTATTTCTATGACCCAGAATTTGGGAATTACTATTATGGTCAAGGTCACCCAATGAAGCCACACAGAATTCGGATGACACATGCTCTTCTTGCACACTATGGGCTATTACAACATATGCATGTTGTGAAGCCCCTTCCTGCTAGAGATAAGGATCTTTGCAGGTTTCATGCTGATGATTATGTTTCTTTCTTGAGAAGCATTACTCCAGATTCACAACAAGATAATATTAGGCTGCTGAAGAGATTTAATGTTGGTGAAGACTGCCCTGTTTTTGATGGCCTCTACTCTTTCTGTCAAACTTATGCTGTAGGTTCTGTTGGTGGGGCAGTGAAATTAAACCATGGACAATGTGATATTGCAGTGAATTGGTCCGGTGGGTTACACCATGCAAAGAAGTGTGAGGCTTCTGGTTTTTGCTATGTGAATGATATAGTGCTTGCCATCTTAGAGCTCCTCAAAGTGCATGAGGTTGGTTTATGATATTTCTGCTACCCACAAATTTTTCTTAATGCAACTGAATTTGAATCATGATTTTTGGGAGAGCACGAGTCAATTTCTAATTGTTGTGCAGGTTTTTGTGCTTTCACATTAGTTACTGGAACTTTTTCCTTCATGCTTCTCCTTCTTTTAAGAAAGTGTTATGTAGACATGATAAAAGCAGTTTCATATGTCAAGATTCCATTAGGCATTTCTGGACTTCTGGTAAACTTACAGGCAATTTTATTTTATCCAGCACATTGATAGGCAAATAAGGTCTAAAAAATTAAAGCTTAGACTTCTCTAGATTATTAAAGATCTCTTACAATTTGAAATAAATAAATGGGTTCAGTGTCTATGTATACAAAATTTCTGTATTCTTTTGGTGAAATTGACTTCTTGGCATTTTCATGACATATGCGTATATTGAATTTAATTTTTAAAAAGTAAATCTTATACATTATAGTCAAAAAGAACCAAAGTCTTATGCTTTGCGTGGTTATTTTTTTTTTTTAAACGGGTTTTATCCTTTGCATGCTTTTATTAAGGTGTGGTGCTTTGCTTATGGCAATCTGATTTCACATATAGACCTTGTTCTTTCATATGTTTTCAATTTTCCATTCACAATCTTGACCAAGCTCAGTTTTGTGCTAAAAGATGCTCATTAGTTTGTAACCATGATTGCACCTAGTATGTGGATTTAGCCAGATCTGCTAGGATAACATTTTATTTATTTAAAATTTCCATCATTTTTTAATGCAAGAAGTCTTTGTAGGCTTTTATATATGGAAAACTTTGATCATTCATCAATGTTGTCCTTGGCTTCGAGTTGCATTGATTCCTCATTTTTTTTTTGGATGACAAGGGAAACCCCACAACCTTATGATTCCTCATTTAAGTTTGTGATGAATAAGCTTACAGTTACTTGAACTTGTAATGTTATAGGGCTGAGCCTCATCCACCGTGAAGCTTTGACATATTATTACTTAAAGATTTATGACCCGTACTAATAGCTTACATTTTTATTTCACTTGTTAACTAATAATTTTATATGACAAATTCCTATCAAATAGCTTTATTATAGTATCTACAGCAGTAATCCGGGTGTATCCTTGCCCATCAAAATGACCTTAGCTGACCTAAATATACACACCTCATTTCTAGTGTTGTATTTACTGTTCACAAAATATCTTTTCTAAGAGCTAAGCTGTAAGATGGATTTATTCTATATATGTTACATACTTACATATTAATAATTAAGTTTCTTTTCTATATATATTTTGAATCTTGACGTACTAATAATCCACTTCTTGCAATTTCTGGCAGCGAGTCTTGTATGTAGACATTGATATCCATCATGGTGATGGTGTTGAAGAGGCCTTCTATGCTACAGACAGGGTCATGACGGTTTCATTTCATAAATTTGGAGATTATTTCCCTGGGACTGGGGATATAGGTGATCTTGGATACGGGAAGGGAAAATATTACTCTCTTAATGTTCCATTAGATGATGGAATCGATGATGAAAGCTATCAGATGCTATTTAAGCCGATAATGGGCAAAGTGATGGAAGTTTTTAAGCCTGGTGCTGTAGTGCTGCAATGCGGTGCCAATTCATTGTCCGGAGACAGGTTGGGTTGCTTTAATCTCTCAATAAAAGGGCACGCAGAGTGTGTCAGATACATGAGGTCTTTTAATGTACCGTTGCTGTTGCTGGGGGGAGGTGGCTACACAATACGCAATGTGGCTCGTTGCTGGTGCTATGAAGTATGATTCTTTCTGCTTAATTAATTTGAAATACAAGTAAATACAAGAAAATTTAAATGATGAAAATCAAAGAAATTAGGAGATGTATATGCTCATATAGTAAATATTCAATGCTTATAATGCTAAGATGAAAAGAAGTTCGAAAAAAGAAATTACTAATTAAGTAGTTAAGTGTAGGGATTGGAACTTTTGCCTCGTGTTTAGTTGTACTGTAATTATTAAATGGTAGGTATCATAACTAATATCAGTGGATATGAGTATATGCATGCTTTGTGTTAAACTATGGATTCGTGCTTCTACAGACTGGAGTCGCACTTGGGATGGAACTTGAAGACAAAATGCCACAGCATGAATATTACGAGTACTTTGGCCCAGATTATACTCTTCATGTCGCTCCTAGTAACATGGAGAACAAAAATTCTCGTCAAATGTTAGAAGAAATGAGAGCAAAGCTTCTGGATAATCTCTCAAAACTTCAGCATGCACCGAGTGTGCAGTTCCAGGAGCGGCCACCCGATACTGAATTTCCAGAGGTAACTTCCACCCCATCTTTTTAAGGACTGCATAAGTCGGCTTCCTTCCATTAGAAACTTGACATTGGTCATTCTGGCTTAAGCAACACCTCATTGAGTCAGCGGGTTCGACCCGTTTTGCCTCGAATCCGACCCGATTCGGGTCAAAACGGGTCGAACCCGCGATTTTTCGGGCTTTACCCGATGTGCCCACCCTACTTATTTCAATCAAAATCTTCTTCTCTTCTTCTCTTCTTCTCTATCTTCTCTCTTCTCTCTCTCTCTCAAGAAACGATCCGTCAGAAGGGAAAAGGATGATCAATCATTGGGAGGCTAACTGATCCGTCGAGGGCTACTTCTTCTCCTTTTCTCGCTCTCAAGAAATACAGCGATCGCCTTTATCTGCTTGTAACTATATCAATTCATACTTACAGTTTTTTTTTTTTTAAATAGTCCTCAGTCTGGGCTTTTTACGTGGATTTATTGTTAAATGTTATGATTTCAGTCTATCGAAGAAGGGAAAAAGACGACGATTGAGAGACTAACTGAAAAACCCCAGGGCTACTTCTTCTCCCCTTCTCGCTCTCAAGTGCTCTCAAGAAACTACAGCGATCGCCTTTATCTGCTCTACACCATTGTGTAAGTATATCAATTCATACTTACAGTTTTTTTTTTTTTTTAAATAGTCCTCAGTCTGGGCTTTATACGCGGATTTATTGTTAAATTTTATGATTTCAGTCTATCGAAGAAGGGAAAAAGACGACGATTGAGAGACTAACTGAAAAACCCCAGGGCTACTTCTTCTCCCCTTCTCGCTCTCAAGTGCTCTCAAGAAACTACAGCGATCGCCTTTATCTGCTCTACACCATTGTGTAAGTATATCAATTCATACTTACAGTTTTTTTTTTTTTTTTTTTTTTTTTTTTTTTTTTTTTTTTTTTTTAAATAGTCCTCAGTCTGGGCTTTATACGCGGATTTATTGTTAAATTTTATGATTTCAGTCCATCGAGCTTAGTGCAATTTAGATGGATGGACAGCTTTAGGAGATAAACTGTAAGGAGTCGGGTGCAAGTCAGTTTTAGGATTTTTGTGCTCTTAGTAAATTGTCCATGTTCCTTCCAATTTCTTGATGAGTCCATTCAGCTGACAGGAGTACTTTATATTTGGAATAAATTACACCAAAATACAAAAAAATATTGATATCATGTTCCATGTTTTTCTGTAGATGAATCATTGGGAGGCTAACTGAAAAACCTTCACCCATGTCCAGGGCTACTTCTTCTCTTGTATCTTCCTAATCCGTCAGTTATTCATGGTAAGAGTATATCAGTTCATACTTCAATTACAGTTTTTTTTTTTTTTTTTTTTAAATAGTCCTCAGTCTGGGTTGAAGAGATTCTTGAAAATTGTTAAATTCAATTACTGTTATGATTTCAGGCCATCGAAGAAGCTGGGAAAAAGGTGGTGGCTCATTGGGAGACCATCATGGGCTTTAAGGAAGATGAAATGAAGTTCATTACAGGTATAAAGGATGAACTGGTGAATAAAATGGTCAAATCAATAGGGATAATCGTAGAAGCTGAGGGGTCGGTGAAGAAACTTTGGGAGGAGTTGGATAAGGTATAGTTGAAGGACCATTTTGGTTATTAACTCTCTTATTAATTTTAAAGTGTAATTAATAATTTGAATTTTTTTTATAGGTTCATAAAGAAGATGATACTATGATTACGCTATTGACCACGGTAGTTTAAATTATTTCTTTTAAATTTTAATAAATAGTTTTTTTTTTTTTTTTTTAATTTTAATGAATATTTTTTTCTACAGCTATATGAAGAATATATTAAATCCTGGGATGGTGAATCCTCAAAGGGTGAATCCTCAAAGTCTGCTGCGGGTGAACAATCAAAGTCTGCTGCATCGGGTGAACAATCAAAGTCTGCTGCATCGGGTGAACAATCTACGTCTGCTGAATCGGGTGAACCCGTGGCTTTGCCTAATCTGACATTTGTTGAGTATGCTGCACAAATTTATCCGTATGAAAGCAAGTTCGGTAGAAGAAATATGGCTATTAACAATTTAATGTATCAATTGATAGCTACTAGGGATGGCATGCAAACTCACTCCGCTATATTGGGAGGAATGGTTGAATCTTTGGCAAAATTGTCTAGGACCCTCACATCGGCTCTGGGCGCTCTTGAGCTGCGTGCTCAGGACGCTCCAAAGCCGAGTTAGTTTTTTTAGCCTAGCCTTTGTAATATGGATATACACTGGACGCTCCAAAGCCGAGTTAGTTTTTTTAGCCTAGCCTTTGTAATATGGATATACACTGCTTACCAGTACATTTTACGAATCTTTATGTTCTTATGTTTTGTAGCAATTGTATGTGATTGAGGAGCTTGTTCGTCTAGCATTCATGTACTTTTACTCTAGAATTAGTGATGCTGCTCTAGTGAAGTCTATAGCAAGTGCTCAAAACAAACGCACACACATCTATATATTATATACCGAGTGTTTGTTTTATATTACCTGCATTAGTATGTATTGTCCCTATTCATGTATCTATGTGTTGTCCCTATTCATGTATATATGTTCTAAATATTCCTATGTTTAGGCAGTAATGGGCCTGTTTATGTGTTAGTTTATTGCTTATGGTATGAGGTTGGGGATGACAGAGAATGCATGATGTATCACAAGAGATCAAGAGAGTAAGGGCACAAATGGAAGAAAATGAGCAAGTAGCCATATTAATGAGGGGGCTACGAGGTCAAAATCTGAAGGATTCTCAGTTTGCAGATAACAATATTAAGCTTCGCCTAGTTGAAGTATGTGTGTAAAAACATTTATTAAGATTCTCATTTATCACTGTTGGTATGTTTTTTTTTTTTTTTTTTTTGTTTTTTTGTTGTTGTGTGAAAGCTCTCAGATGAGGCAGACTTCTATTTTAGTATAGTGTGAACCACTCTAACAGCAGTGTATACAGCTTAACTATAATGTATACAGTATACCTATACTTCTGGTTTCAAGAGTGAACCGTTAAATGACTCTTGTAAAGGAATTCCGGTTGTATACATGATTCAATTGTGCTTTGACCATTATATGTTGCTAGCCATCATAAAGTTATGCATGGACATTTACAAGCTCTCATAGTAGCAGAGAAAGTTTCTTAATAAGGCAGAGAAGTCACAAAGATTATAAACTACTAAAAATTTTAGGTTGTGTTTTTTATTGGATGCATATTTTTTGTTAGCCTCTCTGCCCAATGTTCTTTAACCTGCTTTAAGGTTGATTATGCGTGGGTTATCGAGTTAATAACCCAACTTCTACACATCACTGAACTTTTCAGTTTGGGACCACTATCCATAATTCCATATTTAAGCGAATTGTCAACACTATACTATTCATACATACAGTTAGAAGTAGGACCCCTAGTACTATGAGGTTTGAACTTTAGAATATTTTCTATAAGGCAGTGAAAGTTATCAGATTACTTAGTAACTAAAAGGGAAGAAAAAGTGAAACCTGATGTTCCCTTTATAGAAAAGGGTTAACAAAATGAAAGTTTGCTGCAGAAGCTGATTGAGACGCTCGCTGAAGACAAGGCACCAAATTTTGATACTTCTATATTTCATCACGCAAGAAACGTGTGTCTATCTCGAGTTAATTACACTACTTTACACTTTAGAGTACAGTTACCCGCCGTATCAAAATGTTCTCTCTTTTCTTGATCAAGACCAAATCCACCCATGCCCATCTCATTCACTTTCATTATATTTCAAAGATAACACGTACTAATTCCCACCGCACAAAAAGTGCTTCACAGGAAAATGCATTCCGGACCTATCACATAAGTTCAAAGGCCTATATGAACTACATACTTCCCTATATGGATTAATGTATAGGGTTTTTGACTGAAATGAGGAGTCGAAAATGGTTGTGGACAATAATGGGAAGTCTATTTTTTTTTGACAAGAATAGGAAAAACAAGTTTGGGAAAAGCGGTTGTGGTCAAAACCGCATTTCCTACTCAAATGGGGTTGTCGTATAGACATAGCCGCATTTGAGAAATGCGGCTATTTGTTTATCGCCGGCTCTCCGTCAAAAAAGCTTTTGGGAAATGCGTTTTTCAAAACTGATATGAATGCGGAACTTGCGATCTATTAACGATTCCTGCTTTTCATCAACTGGTTTAATCGAGAATGAAAAGATGGTGGTGAAGTTCGCCAGATTCCCTGTCTCCTTGTCCCAAAGATGCATTTGTTGTTTGTACATAGCCCGACCACTGTCGTTGTACATGTGACCTTCCTGGTTCGAGGTTAGCCGAATAACTCCATGTGGATGAAAGATTAAAAAAAGATTATTCAATTATGCAAAACAAACACGCAAGGCCCGGATCGAGGAGAAGCTGGGCAGCAGCATTGATGCCGATGTACTTTTACCGTCTTCTTTTCTTTCTTCTGCAGCTACCTTAGATTAGCACCAACCAACAAGCAACGGCGGGAAACAAGCAAGGGCTGACGCGAAAGCCGTTGCTTGTTTTGTTTTTTAGAATCTTTAGCTTATTACGAATAATTCCGACAACTTCAGGAGAAAAAGAGGCATTTACCTATTACAGAGATGGTGCGATTTGATTCTTAGTTTACTTTAGAATATTTTATTGAATATTATTTAGTCATTTCTCTCAGTCTTACGAGAAAGACACGCCCAAATTATTGAAAAAAATCCAATTTTTAAGTTGAAGGTGAAGTTTGGAAATAGAACAATTCCTTCTGATGGTGGAATAATAACGAGCGTGCATGTTAACAACATAGAAAGAGAAATGGTCATCAGCGGCATCATATCGTTGAAGACTGGGAATTGATGCATGCTGAGGCTAAGGGGTTGTCAGAAAACATTATGGCCTGGCCGCCGCAAATTGACGCCGGCCATCCGGCGATAAACGAATACCAAACTCGGCTATCGTATGATATACGAAAGCCGTACGTCCAAATGCGGTTGTCCGTAGAATAGGAATGTGACCCAAACGAGTTTGGAAAATGTGGTTTTGACCACAACCACGTTTCCCAAACTCGTTTTTCCTATTCTTGTCAAAAAAAATAGGCTTCTCATTATTGTCCACAACCATTTCTCACTTCCCATTTCAGTCAAAACCCTAATGTATGTAAACTATGTTTTGGACCAATTTAAGAAAATAACATGGTCGGAGGACCATTTTAAGAATTAACGTAACTCCCAACAAGATCGATTATGCAATATAACTAAAGTTATAAGTTAAAAATAGTAGACTTCGAAAGTATTGTTTTGTGATAGTGTTGATATATATTCACAATATAACAATTGTCTAAAATCAAAACCAAAGTAAAATTAACATAATGGTGATATATATGTGCTAAGAAATTTAGTTTTGTGGAGTTTGATCGTTGTATATTGGTCACATATTTTATAGCAATAGAAGAATTATTATACATGTGTACATGCATGGACTATGACAACTTGTCAATTCTACACTGTAATTTAATTAACATAACAAACCTCGCGAGTAAAACTACAAAAGCACCAAAATCAACAAACGTTTACTCGGTTCTAGTCGCAAAAGATGTTTACTTCTATTTCTATTGCCCATTTATTTATGTTCATCCACTTTAGTTTTTTCTACTTCTCTTAAAACATATGCTTGATATGCGAGTAAATTCTGTAATCAAAATAAACCTTATCGACTCTTATTTACACTTCACAATAATTATAATATAACAACAGCAAGAAATTAAGAATGACTGTACTATACCAATCCAAAGTCATCGACAACCGTGCAAGTAGAATAGCCGGTAGTTCATCCAAATGAATGGAAGTTGAACGGTATTCGATCGCAACAATATAATTTGCCAGAATGGTATACATGCATTTTGTCTGTCCTCCCATTCTGATTTCTGAAACCGTTTCTTCCGCGCTGCTTTGTTCTCCATAAAACATTGTTGTGTGCCTCTTCCGTTTTCGTCATCAACACTGTGTCGTTCACGCTTTCAATAACAACAGCCTTTTCCTTGAGTCTTTCCATTAGTCTTAAAGCATTGTGAGCACGGCGTCTCTTTTGAATAACTGATGTCCTTTTTTTTTTCTTTTTTTTTTTGTCCTAAAAAAGAATTGCAATTTGCTCAATTTTCAATCTTTTTCGGCAATGTCAATACTCTGACACTCTAGCAGTCTAGCATGCATATAAAAAAAAAACAAAATGTCTACCTTTTATTGTAAACATGTAGCTTTTTCCTTTCATTTCCGTACCATAACAAACATACCACATGTATTTCCAAATCATATTGTCCAAAATTTAATCTAAAATCTACAACACTACAACCCACTAATAATTAATTTTTTTTTTTTTTTTGATCAAGACCTGTCAAATCATATTGTCCAAAATTTAATCTAAAATCTACAACACTACAACCCACTAATAATTATTATTATTATTTTTTTTGATCAAGACCTGTCTAACTGTTTGTACATGAAAATTAAATCTATTTGACTAACTAAAAGTGAGACTGCGTGTGTATATATATATATATTTTGCTCATTCTATTGTACAATATTTCTTGTCTATTAGATTGTCTTCCACAAATACATAGTAAAATTAAAAACATTCAAGTCAAACTATTAACCGAAATACTAGGGGAATAAAACATCGGTGTCCAACACCGCCAAAAGGACAAACTACTACAACCATTAAATCAGGAGAGTTTAGACTACAAGCTATCTAACTACTCTAGTCTAACTCGTGCTCTCAACTCTACGAACTGGGTCCACCTGAAAGGGGTTAACAAACAACAAGTAGCAAACATAACCCGTTAGCACGAAGATAAGTATAACGTCACTCAACCCTGTAAAGTAATACAACATATACTTTGGAAAACAATGTTTCACATTCTTTGCTAAAACAGTCTACACACTTAGACATACTTGGCATTATCTTCTAGATGCTTGCAACCTAATATCCATATAGGCATACTTATACATTTAAACAACTCAAAAATCTCATGCTTTCTCATATAACTCAAATAAGCATTCTTATGCTATCATAAACTTATCATGCATTCTCTTGCAAGACATAGAACTCACAACAAGCTATATTATCAATCATGCAATCTAGTGCAAGGCATATAACTCAACAAACTCATATTACTACTCATGCAATCTAGTGCAAGACATAAATAAGCAATCTCGTGCTACTACTCATGCAATCTAGTGCAAGACATAAATAAGCAATCTCGTGCTACTACTCATGCAATCTAGTGCAAGACATAAATAAGCAATCTCGTGCTAGTACTCATGCAATCTAGTGCAAGATATATATAAGCAATCTCGTGCTACTACTCATGCAATCTAGTGCAAGATATATATAAGCAATCTCGTGCTACTACTCATGCAATCTAGTGCAAGATATATACAACTCATAAGATGTGCTATGGTAAGTATAGATATACATATACACACTCTTTAAAAAAGAATACTTTTCTATATATGAAGGTTTCTTGTTGTCATAAATGACTTGCTTTGCTTTTCTTTTCTTTGAGTCCCAATGGCTCGCTTTCTTTAAGTCTCAATGACTCACTTTCTTTCTCTCGAGTCTCTTGACTCGCTTTCTCTTTACTCGTGGGCGAGGCCGGACTTCACCATAATGTGAATGAACCCATTGGGCATGGCGTCTAGCCGGCCAATCTCTCATCCCGCCCACAGAACCAATCTCATGGTTCCAATACTCATAATCTGTGGAATCAGGTATCGAACTATCAATGTGCACAACCCCTGACCAGGATTCCAAGCCTGGTGGGAAGTTTCCAACCTCGTAACGTGGGAATACGCGGCGTTACATGATATCGGATCGCAATGTCCGTTGCTTTCTCTTTTACTCCGAGAGGACATATTCCAAACGGGTCCTCCAAAAATACCATTTTCCTCACGATAGATATATATAAATGTCACTCATGCATCTCAATTATGCAACACTTTTCTTATGCAAATATGCACATAGATTCTCAACTCATTCTCAAATGACAAGATAAATACTCTCCAAATGGATATGAGTTTTTAGGAAAATAATACTTAGACTCACATTGGCCACTTATGAACTTTTAAAACATGATATGCTCGAAAATGACATTTACTGTAATTTAATCTTCTAAATTGGACATGCTCTGTACATTTTCAACATTCTTAGAAAATTATAACAGACAACTTAGGCATGATTTTCTAACAAGCTAATCAAATAAGGTTCATGCTTCTCTATTTAATAACCAAAAGATAGCAAGTTCATCATATAAATACTCAAAGTCTGATAATCTTCATTCCTACTCACTGTACATGCTTCAAAACAACTTCTATGACAATTACTACTACAAATTCTAGCATAAAAGGCTCAAATCTTCTCCAAACTTAGCGAAATCAAAGTCAAAACGTGCGTCAAGACGGCTCCGAGGTACCGAGCCACAAGGGTCCGACCACTGCACTGGAACACTCAATGGAACTTGGGGCGGAGCTCAACTAGGTCCGCACCTCGGACAGCCTAGCCACCGGCTCTAGCCAACGGTCCCCTTGTTGAGCCGTTGGCTGGGACCGTTAGGTCTTCTGGTGCACACTGTCTACGCACCAGATGCCTCCTTTTTCATCTACAAAAACTTCTCAGACATTTCTATCTCATCCAAAACATCAACAACACATCTTAAACAAGATATAGATCACTTAATAGCTCAAATACTTCAAAATCTAGCATTTCAACTCATTTTCTACACATCAAAAGACTTCACAGAGTCTTGAAAATAGTTTGGGAGTCCATGGGTTATACCTTTGTAGCTTTCTCTTATTCTAGCTTGGTTTCCACCTCCTTTTTTAGCTAGCTATAACCTCCTTCACCTCCTAAACATCTCAAACAAACCACACAACCAACATTAACCTATAAGCTCAGAGAAGGATGGAAGCAAATATGAAATGGAAGGCTAGGATTGAAAGGGAAAGATGATGAAAACTTACTGTGTTTTCTTGGTGATCTTGCAGGGGGAGCTCAAGGGTGGAACCAAGAGGCTAAGTCTGATAAATGTTCAATATATAGGAGCACAAAACCCTAGGTTGATCACTCATGATTGGTGGAAGGCAAAAAGGGAAAAGTTTGGCTAGAAAGTTGCATCAGACAAAGGTGTTGGTGGCTTGTGGTCCACCATGCTTCATGAACCAAGGGCTAGAATTGCTATTTTAAATAGTTTGGGGTTGAAAAAGAATTTTCCCAAAATGATTTCTAGATAAACACTTGGTTGGTTTAAGTTTCTCAGAATTCTCTCGGTTTCACTCAGATAGATTTCTCAGTTCAAAACTTGGCACGCAATCTATTTTTAGTCAGTTTTTATTAGAATATTCACATTTAGTCCTAGAATTAGGTAGTATGATCATTTTTTGTCTTTCGGCAACAAAATCGTTGAAATGTCATTAAATACAAAGACATTTCGATCATTTTTATACACAGCAAGTTGATTCCGTTATATTTTTTTTGTTTTTTGTTTTGTTTTTTTGTTTTTTTGAAAAAATCCGTAATTGAAGACCGAAATGACTTTGTATTTAACGGCATTAAAATTGTTTTGTTGGTAGAGGACAAAAAATGGTCATGCGACAATAATAGTATAATACTATAACCAAATGCATGCGAATGTTCTAATAAAAAAGAACTAAAAGTGAACGGCCCTATAAATCTAAGATCAAAAATGAAATTAACCCCATAAATTATTAAAAAAAATTAATTTCAGTCACACATTTTTGCAGTAGTTGTTAATATTCTTTGGTTATTCTTAATCAAATGTCAATGTTTTGACAAATTCTTATAAGTTTTCATTGGATTAATAATCGAATAGATCAAACGTGATTAAAAATAATATTCATGCACCAAAAATGTTAAAAATAAAATAAAATTTGAAATTTAAAAAAAATGAAAACAATTCCATTTGAAATAGTTTGGTAACATTTGTAGAGATGCAGACACGCCACTGACCACATGTTGATTTTTAGGCTAACAGTCCAGAACCATAAAAATGACGCCAACAATTCTAAATTGAGGCTCGCATTTGCCCATTCTTCATTAGTTTGAACACTATACATGCACTATCAGGCCCGTATTTTAAGTTTTTTTAGTTTGAACACTATACATGCACTATTAGGCCCGTATTTTAAGTTTTGGTGGTCCTGTTCTGGTAAATAAATGTGGCCCTATCAAAATTATAATTTTTAAAACCAATATATGCAAGTTTCGAACATTTGACCTCCAAGTTAAAATACAATAAATACACATTCTTACCATCTCTTCATGAAACCTTTATAACTCAATTGAAAACTTTTAATTTTTATTTCTAAACTAACTAGGTAAAAATTAAATATTGGACCTCTAAAATTTGGGGGCCCTCTAAAATTTGGGGGCCCTGTGCGATAGCCCAGCTTGCACAGCCTAAAATCCGACTCTGATGCACTTCAATGAAGCAAACACATAAAAATTGTCAACAATTTTTAGTAAATTCTCATTATTTTCTTTTTGCATATCCTTACCCAGCCTTAAGCCTAAGTGTATTTATTGAGGGCATCCCGAGCTTCACAGAGGACATTTATTACTTTAGAAATGGATTGAATCACCTTTACCATTTTATGAGAGTGATCAACCCTATACTCCTCAATCTCAAATAGTTGCAGCATGAGCTTGTTGACACAAGTAGCCTTTTTTTCAAATTGCTTCTCCAAAGGAGCCATCTCCTTTACATATTGAGCAAACTGAGATTGAGGTTGAGCAGGTTGAGCAGAGGTCTGGGGTTCATCCAAGACAGCCTCATTTTCTGTAAGGATCTGTCAAAACAAAAACCATTTATTAAAATTTAAAAGAAATCAAGATAAAATCAGAACTGATTCAAAAAAATGAACTGTATACCTTCTCCAAGACAGCCTTATCTTCTCCAAGGGTCTGTAAAAACAAACTAAAACCATTTATTAAAATTTAAAAGAAATCAAGATAAAATCAGAACTGATTAAAAAAAATGAACTGTATACCTTCTCCAAGACAGCCTTATCTTCTCCAAGGATCTGTAAAACAAACCCAAATCCAAACCCATTTATTAAAATTTAAAAGAAATCAAGACAAAACCAGAACTGATTCAAAAAATGAATTGTATACCTTCTCGAAGAAGGGTTCAAAACATGAATTGTATACCTTCTCGAAGACCGCCTTATCTTCTCTAAGAATCTGTAAAAACAAATTCAAACCATTTATTAAAATTTAAAAGAAATCAAGACAAAACCAGAACTGATTCAAAAAATGAATTGTATACCTTCTCCAAGACCACCTTATCTTCTATGATCTGTAAAAACAAACCCAAACCATTTATTAAAATTTAAAAGAAAAAGACAAAAACCAGAACTAATTCAAAAAATGAATTGTATACCTTCTCCAGTTCGTTATTGATCTGCTTAAGGGAGTCCCCGACTTGAGCAATGAAGCCAATGGTCTTAAATACTGTTGCGTCACCGTCGTTTATAAACTTATGCAAGTCACCCTTTAAACCTGAAATACGAGTGATCTCATCTTGCTTTACATCTATGAAGTTTACCCAATACTGCTTAATATTTCCAGCTTGGTGGGCGGGTTTCCTGGGTTTCATGGCCTGCAATGAATCAAAACTTTTAGACAAAAATGGTTATATAACTAAGTGACGGTTACCATACAGAAAATCTCATGGAAGCACATCACTAGAAAGTGAAAAAAAAATTATTGGCAATAGCAAATCAATATATGTGATGGTTACCAATCCGCATAATGAAACTAAACTTAATTTTTTTTATTACAAAAAAAAAAAAAACTTGTGCATAAATTAAAGATTTTACCCCTAATCGACAGATCTAATATAGTGCAAAAGCTGGAACTCCAAAGAACAAGTTAATCCATATTTCTAACAACAACAGTACACAGCTAGAACTCCAAAGAAAAATAAATGCTTCAGCCTTCAGCTGTGTTTCGATCTCAATCTTTGTATTCAAAGCTTGTTTTGTTTTTTGTTTTTTTTTTTTTGCCAATTAAAAAAAAAGTTTAATTTTGCAATATACATGTACATATATACAGGAATGCATAACACATTTTCATTATGTAATATACATATATACATGGATGCATATTTTGTGATAAAAAAGTAATGCATACATACATACCACTCACGATGAGCAACCACCAAATTAAAGAGCTGACAACTTAGAGGAATATCACAATACAAGGTTCATGAGTACGTATTAATTTAGACTTGGAATATAATTCAAGATTGGGGGAGCAAGCTAAGAGGTATTTAATTTCACAAGAACTGTACTTAAAGTGAAATATTAAGAGACAAGATAAGCAAAGGAGTATCACATTCATAGGCCATGATCAAGCACATGAATCACTTGAATAAACTTTTATCCCAACTCGCCACCCAAAATTGAATGGATCTTCCGCAACAAAGACGATTTCTATTTTATCCCTCTTTACATACACCTTGAGGACAATAATGGATCTTCTCTTCCGCAACAAATTAAAGACGATTTCTATTTTATCCCTCTTTACATACACCTTGAGGACAATATGCTGCTTTTTAAAGGGCGGAGTGGATCGAAAGTAATGGCGTGATGCACCATGATGATATCCAACTTCAAATAAAATCCGCACAATAATCAAATAAACTCAGAATTCTAAGTTAATAAACGATATGAATTACAGAATGAGAAATGTAATAATCACTAGAAATGATAAACGAATGTAAAGTTGAGAAATCTTATGCTGAATTGAAACTTTATTAGCAGTACAAACCTTAAATTGCAACCTCACAACCCTTCCCTTTGTAGGATTCAATTTCTAATAAGTGATTCAGAGAAAAGGGATCGGAGCTAATCAGATATGAATAAGTAGGATTCCATTACCACCGCTTTTTCGGCAACCAAACAAACGACCCTTTGATCTGAATCGGATCCATTTTCTTTTTATTTTTCATTTTCTATTTTACTATAGAAAAAATATTTGATCAACTGTTGATGTATAAATCTTATACATGAGCGATGAATCACAATGCGACACATTATTAAAAAATGAATATAAGATTAAATAGGGTTTTTTTTTTTTTTTTTTGTGTAAATAAATCATAACCTTTTATTGAAAAATGTTACTGGCTCTATTACATGGTAGTATCCGTTCATATACTTTCTCAACCTACTAAAACACAAAGAACCAATAACGCCTCTATTGAGGCTTGAACTCACAATTTTTCAAATGAAAGTCCAACTCGGGTACCATTAGACAACATAATCTTGGTAATCATAATCTTTTATTAATTATAAGAATAAGGGTCAAATATGCCATTCAATTGCATACAATAATTCAATTAGGCCATTGAACCTAAAAAGTCAACAATTTGGTCCATAAACTAACCAATTTCAAACAATTCTTCCAATTTGAAGGTTTTCAACAGGTCAACAGGTCATCCTTCCAAATAAATTATTTTTTAAAAAATAAATTTTTAAAATTAATTATTTAAATATTATTAAAAAAAAAAAAAAAACTGGACTGGCCGGAGACGACCCGTCTCGGGCTGGTTTCTTCGTCTCCGGCAGTGGAGACGAAGGGTTTCTTCGTCTCCGGCCATGGAGACGAAGAAGGTGACCTTCTTCGTCTCCGGCCATGGAGACGAAGAAATTGGCCAGAGACATCTGTTTTTTTTTTTTTTTTTTTTAATTTAAAAATAATTATTTTTTAAAATTTATTTTTTAAAAAAATAATTAATTTGAGAGGATGACCAGTTGACTTGTTGGAAGTCTTGAAATTGAAAAAATTGTTTGAAATTGATTAATTTAGGGACATAATTGTTGATTTTTTCAGTTCAGTGGCCTAATTGCATTATAGTCTGTAGTTCGATGGTCTATTTGACCCTTATTCTTTAATTATATTTATTTATTAATTGAAACTAGCTATATATACGCATAAGCCATCCTCCAAATTTGCAGGCTTCGACTTATCAAACGGATGTTTCAATTCGTAGCTTAATGCTTCTCGATTAGATCGGAGTTTTAATGGACTATATATATATATATATATATATATATATATATATATATACCTTGTCTGGACATTCTAGAAAGCCTTCAATTCTACAGCAACTTCATACTTTCAAAAGGTTGAACCCCAATCCTAAGGGCCCACACACTCCGGCCACAGAGGCTAGACCTTTGCTTATTGCGCACAAGAAACCCCCCTCACTTTGAGAGAGGTTGCTCCCACACTGTGACTGGTGAGACTCGATTCATGGTCATTCTTCCAACTTTTTACCTCTATGGCCAGTTGAACTGCCTATGCGAGCTTCTATAGCAATTTCATTATCACAAGGTAGCTAGGTTTCCCCCCCTCTGATCTCTACTGCAAATATAATAATATCTCTTTCTTCATTATATTATTACTAGTTATACACGCGCATTGCGCAAATGGGTTAATGTTCAATTTTTATATTTAAATAAATATTTGAAAGTATATCAATGCAATATTATATAGGAGAAGTACATATGTAATTTGTTTATTTAAATATGTAACTCAAAGTATATGAATGCAAGATAATATAGGATTGTCACTAAAATAAAATTTTGCAACTTTGTAAAATCGATAGTCTAAATACTTGGTCTAAAAATGATAGTCTAAATAAATACTACTTCTGGTTTGAATTTTTATAAGTATTATTAATTCTCTTTTGAGTAACACTGCCATTGTCTTCATCTTCACTATTTTTCCGGCCTCTTCCTTTTTGGGTTATAGTTGGTAGCATAGATGACAACGTTATGTAATGAAATTATGGTGTAGGAAGCTATGTATTTTCCTTGTTGTGCTATGTATTTTTCTTGTAAACGCTTGTTGATATTTTGTAGTGGTAGTTTGTTCCCATACATATTTCATGTGGAAGTACACTAGTAAAAAACAATTCATTAGTGTTTGTCGAACGCCAATGAACCAGACACTAAAAGTCATCACTATAGGCGTCTGTTGTTCGTTGGCGCCTAAAGTTAACTATAGGCGTCTGTCTCTTGCAAAGAACATACGCCTGTTCTTCGTTTTTATGAAAAAAATTTATACTTAGGCGTCAGTTCTTTAAAAGGAACAAACGCCTATATATATACTTTTTTATAAAAAAACAAAATTTTGATTCTTCAGGATGCAGTCCTTTTCCAACCCTATTCAACATAATCCAATTATTTTTCTTTTGAAAGGATAATCCAATTATTTAATCATTCACAATAAACCACTTAATCCAACAATAATATTTCATTCAATCCATCAATCAATAATGTTATATTATCCTCAAACCGTAAATTAAACAAAAAAAAATCAAATTGAAACTAAGAAGTTATTTCAAGTAATATATATATAGATTAAGGATCAAATGACGACATATTCTCACACGAGGATTGTGGACAGATATTAACCTTCTTGATTTTTATTTGATCAATGGCTCTAGTTTTTTAGTGTATTTTTGTACTGATTTTTCTATTATTGTCGTCACTTTAGTTTAGGGGTGTTTTAGTCTTTGTTATTTTTTTTCTTTTTTTGTTTATTTTTTTTTGGCTGATTTGCATGTTTTTACCTGCTTTAATTATGGTAATTAAGGATACTTTTTATTCCCATGGTGATTCATAATTGATCCTTTATATTCTGTGCCCTTTTTTACTGGGTTCAGTGTTGTTTCTTTGTGGTTTTACTTCGATTCTTGCCTCTTTGTATTATTGGTTTCGTTTTTGTGAGCACTTGGAGATATAGATGGGTGTTGCTATTTGCATCACCCTTTGACCAAAAGACATCTTGAAATTATAAAAAGTGAAAGTTTTTAATAATTAATGGGTGGTGCAAATAGCAAAATGTGGTACATTTTGATATTTCTACTTGGGTGGCCTTCTCCGGTGAGAAGGCGACCCACTGGACTGCCTTCTCCGGTGAGAAGGCAGTCCGTCGCCTTCTCACCGGAAAAGGTGACGATTTTTTTTTTTTTTTTTTTTTAAGCTGGGCTGCCTTCTCCAGTGAGAAGACACTCCTCGTGAGTCGCCTTCTCGCCGGAGAAGGCGACCCAACTGCCTTCTCCGGTGAGAAGGCAGCCCGTCACCTTCCCACCGGAGAAGGTGACGGGTTTATCACCTTCTTCTTCTTCTCTTTTTATTTTTTATTTTTTATTTTTTTTTTTATTTTTAAAAATTTAAATTTTAATGATAAAAAAAATGAAAAATAAATAATAATATTTGATCATTTAATGATGGCGGACTTTGTTATTTGCACCACCCTATTTGACCTACTAAATAGGTGGTGCAAATAGTAAAATAGGTGGTGTAAATAGAATTACTCATATAGATTCGTCAGGTATGTCTGCTTCCATTTGTATTCAATATGTATTTATTGTGCATCGTTAGTAGCTATATTTGTGTATTTATTCTGTGTTCATGTTAAAAACAAGCATTGTGGTTGTGGTGGCCGGGTGTAATGGTTTATGGGGTCAGGGCCGGATTTTAGGCTGTGCAAGCTAGGCTACCGCACAGGGCCCCCAATTTTAGAGGGGCCCCAAATTTTAGAGGTTCAATATTTAATTTTTACTCAGCTAGTTTAGAAATAAAAATTAAAAGTTTTCAATTAAACTTTGAAGGTTTTTTGAAGAGATGGTAAGAATGTGTATTTATTGTATTTTAATTTGGAGGTCAAATGTTCGAAACTTGCATGTATTGATTTTAAAAATTATGAATTTGGTAGGGCCACATTTATTTACTAGAACAGGGCCACCAAAACTTAAAATACGGCCTTGTATGGGGTTCTTGGTGCTTTGGTTCTTTAGGAAATTGTGTTTTTAATATTAACTGGCATTGTCTGTTGTTTTTTTTTTTTTTTTTAATCTATTCATTGTAATGGGTTCTTAGTGTTTATGTATCAGTGTGCAGTCTCTCTTTTTATGTTTGTGCAGCGGCGATGTTAGATTGTATGTTGTCGGCTACTGTATTTGCTTTTTTTTTTTTTTTCCAGAAAAAATGTTTTTACAGTAGGTATACTGTGTGTGCTAATTTTTTTGTTTAAAAAAAAAAATATGTTTGGTGGTGTTTGGTGTGCGTGTGTTTTTTTTTTCTTTAATTTTTTTGTTGACATTTTGGTCCTGTGCAATATTTATTACTTGATTTTTGCATAGAACAATTCTCATTGTTAAACCCATTCATTGGCGGTTTTTTTTTTTCCTTTTTAAAGTAGTTATACTGTGTGTCTGTTTTTTTTTGGAAAAAAATTTTGTTTTGTGGCATGTGGCGTTTGTGTTGTTGTGTGTTTATTTTTCTTTTTTGTTGACAGTTTAGTAGTGTGCAATATTTATGACTTAGATATTTGCATAGAACAATTCTCATTGTTAAACCCATCCATTGACGGTTTTTTTTTTTTTGTGTGGTTATAATTTCCCTTTTTTTTCCCTTTTTAAAATATTTATACTGTGTGTGTTAAAAATATTTTTTTTTGGAAAAAAAATATGTGTTGTGGTGTGTGGCGTGTTTTTTTTTTTTTTTTTTTTTCATTTTTGTTGACATTTTAGTCGTGTGCAATATTTATCACTTGATTTTTGCATACAACAATTCCCATTGTTAAACCTATTCATTGACATTTTTTGTAGTTATCATTTTCCTTTTCCAGTGTTTGGTTGCATTTGGAAAACTGTTTTGGTGTGTTTGGTTCATTTTCTGAAAAATGAGTAGAATGATATAATTAAATATTTTAATTATTTTATTTAGAATAAAAAATACATTTTAAATGTTTCTAAAAAAATAAAAAAATAAAAAAAATCTGGTTGCCGGCGGAACTGGGTTCCACCAGAAACCATGGCCTTGGTTTCCACCAAATTGAGCACATTTTCCCCAGTCAACGAAAAATATTTTCCGTTGACTGGATTTTCCAAGTGTAGCCAAACACCAAAAACGCGGAAAATGATTTCCAGAAATCATTTTTCGGGTTTCCAAACACAGACTAAGAGTCAATAATGTTATGCCCTTAATTGGAATAAAAAAATGTTGGTGGTAATTGTTTCTTAAAATGAATGGTTCACATTATTTCGATTTTAGTATTTTTTTAAAATGATTTTCCTTATTTACTATTTATTACATTATTTTTTCTTCTCTTAAATAACTTTAAATTCCGTTAATATAAACTTTATTAACGAAATATTCCGTTAAGTATTTATTATTTTTAACTTACTCATTAATCTACTATCTACTATATCTATCTATCTACTATACTAATAAGAGCCAAAATAAGTTAGGCCTATAATTGGTAGAAAAAATAACTATCAAATTATTAAAACAAATAAATGGTTCAGATTGTTCAAATTTTAATTTTTTCTTGAGATTTCTAAACTTGTCCTTAATTATATGATTTCAATATGAAAGGTCTTATGTTCGAAACCCATCACAATCAAAATTCACTTAAAAATTATATTCTCCATTAACTTACTCATTGATTTCAATAAGAAAGGTTTTAAGTTTAAACCGCATCCCAATCAAAATTGGCATAATTAGTATTCTTATATTAAATTAAATAATTTAGTAGCTACAACAAAAAATAATACATATGCATTTCTTTAATTTAAAATTATGTGTCCACAATGTCTTTACTCAAAAAAAAATAAAAATTATTCATTACCAATAAGTTAAATAAGAGAAATAATTTCATTAGTTATATTTTCTTTATTTTTCTCCGATGTAAAAATTCTTTACATTCAAATTCATCAATTGAGTATATTCACAACATTGTCCCTACAATGTCTTTATTCAAAAAAAAAAAAATATTCAGTATCAATAAATTAATTAAGAAAAATAATTTCATTAGTTATATTGTCTTTATTTTTCTCCAATGTAATAATTCTTTACATTCAAATTCATCAATTGATTATATTCATTACATTGGCCCTGTTTGGTAAAATAGTTAGCCTATCCGTCAATTTTTGACTTATTTGACAACTATTAATTATTTGACTTAATTAAAAAAATCAATATAAGTGTTTGGTTAATTAACTTTTTGTAACTCCAAAATACTAAAATTCAAAAAGCTGCTCAAAGCAACATTTTCAATTAGCTTTTTGAGAAAAGAAATTATATCAAACAGCTATTAGCTAACAATTAATTTACCAAACACATTTCTACAATCATCTAATGTTATCAACTAATTAACGCAATCAGCTAACAGCTAACAACCAATTACCAAACCGCAAATTATGCTGTGGAATCGTGTTCACCGAGAATGGTGAACACAAGTCAAAACGACGTCTTTTTTAGGCAAAAAAAAAAAAAAATCGCGGATGTGGAGTTAACGGCACGTTATTGATCAAATTATGAATTTTCTGTTATGAGATTATGAATTTTATGAAAATTCATAATCTCATAACAGAAAATTCATAATCGCATAACAGAAAATTCATAATCTCACAACAGAAAATTCATAATCTCATAACAGAAAATTCATAATCTTATAACAGAAAGTTCATAATCTCATGGTTCCAAAGTGAATGTGTAGGCATGGTTCCAAAGTGAATGTGCAGGCATGGATTCATAATTTATGAATGTCCGTGATTTCGGACGGGAATATGCAGGCATGGTTCCAAAGTGAATGTGCAGGCATGAATTCATAATTTATGAATGTCCGAAATTATGAATGTAATGAAAATTCATAATCTCATAACAGAAAATTCATAATCGCATAACAGAAAATTCATAATCTCATAACTGAAAATTCATAATCTCATAACAGAAAATTCATAATCTTCTAACAGAAAATTCATAATCTCATGGTTCCAAAGTGAATGTGTAGACATGGTTCCAAAGTGAATGTGTAGGCAGTCACATAATTAATTAAAAAAAAAAAAAAAGATAACGGTGTACTAACACCGTTGGAACCGTGTTCACCATGAATGGTGAACACGGTTCCATGGCATAACGTCTGTTACCAAACATGGTCATTGTCTATTATCTTTTTTTACACTATTTTTTAATTAAATATCAAAGTTATAATACAAAACAATGTTATATATTTATTCACCAAGTATTTTATTAATATCATGAAAAAATAAAAATAAAAATATAATTAAGCGAATTATATTAACTACTTGGGGGATTTGTTGACAAAAATTGAATGGAGAAACTACCTCGCAATGTCCTTGTTTGGCAATCAGCAGTTAGCGGTTAGCGTTAGCAGTTAGCAAATAGCGAATTATATTAGCGGGTTTGACCAGTGAATTATATCAGCGGTTGGTAAAAAGATATTTAAAAAAATTAACTGTTTAGATTAACATGTAAAATGACCTAAAAGGTATAATAATAATAATAATAATAATAATAATAATAATAATAATAATAATAATAATAATAATAATAATAATAATAATAACAATTTAATAAAAGAAATAAAAAAAACATATGGAGAGCCGAACGTCCGGCCCTCGTTAGTTTTGTCACTTTTCCCACCGCATGGGAGCCTTGAGGAGCCTCAAGGCTCCAATTTAAAAATTAAGTTTGCTCATCCGTTGATGGGCAAGCAATGAGCCAGCTAAATTGGTTCTTGTTATTCAAGAAGTCGAAACGGTTCTATAGTAAACATTTTTTTAAATAGTGGAGTGTTTTGGGGAAATCACTCTCCAAAATGCTAAATGAAAATATTGTAAATTGCAGTGTTTGTATTTTCAGTGGTTTGAACAAGTTGTTGCTCCAAAATGTTGAATAACCAAACACTTTCTTTAACATTTTGATCTTTAGGTTACATCATATTTACCAACCGTCCAATATCATTGGGTTACATTATATTAAAAAAATTTAAATTTTTACTACTTCATCAAAATTCCTTAAATTATGAATTTTCTTTATCCATAATAATTCATTCAACAATAATGGTTGAACTATATGAATACTGAGGAAAACACCTAAAGGATTGGTACCATTGATTCATTCATTGATCTTGTATGTGCATTCATTAAATATATTAAAACCTTTTGTAACAAAAATACTTGATTACTATTTTAAAAAAGTTTAGTGACAATTATAATGAATCTCTTATATTATCTTGTATTCATATATAAATGCTAATAGCTGAAATAATAGCAGTTTTAAATGTCAAAGTAAATGCTATTTACACCACATTCTCCTATATAAGTAGTAGCAGCAGAATTTTACACAACAACGAAATAATATTTTTAGCTCCAAAATCTCTGCTTCTACTCCTTAGCCTACTGTGTTCTAAGCTTTGCTCTTGTTCGCCGGGTTCAAAGTTTGGGTGCCCAAACGTTGAATCGTAGCATGTTTTATCCTGGAAATCTATACTACAACGCTTCTAGCACTTGTGGAGGTAACAAATAAGGTTTTAAGGAAAAGAACGATTCGTTCAAACTCGTGCTCAAAACCCGACTCCAAACACGAGCCTATATCATCATCTTTTCCTTCCTCTTTTCTTCATAAAATAGTAATTCTTTTTTCGTGTGATTATTATTAGGGTTTACCAACGAGAAATTACCCAACATAATTGTTAAACATCTACTACGAATATGTTAAAATGTATTAAAAATATAAGAGCTTATTTGACCCTTTTCTCTAAAAAAAAAATAAATAAATAAAAAATTAGAGCCAAGTACCTTGTAATGTAATGACAATCCGATTATCAATCCAAATGACTAGTAATAGGTGCAAACACGATGCTTCAAAAAAATAATTAAAATATTTAATTCATTTAAAGTTTTCTATGAAGGGTTTTTTTTTTTTTTTTAAAAAAAAACAAATCATATCTCTGTCAAGATTTACTTTCCTTGATATCATGAAATAGAATTCTTACTTTCCTTGGTATCATGAAATAAAATTTTCATTGACCCGAATCCCCTAAATAAAAATGTTGCACCAGACATGAAAATAAATTTCTCGGAAATTTAAACTTTCCTACTTATGAAACATCCTAAGAGAAACGAAGAAAAATTCTTGAAACAACAGCTAAAAGAAGAAGAAAGAATATTGTCTTTGGCATAAAACAATTGCGACAGTGATTGTGTTTATTACCCTTGAAAAAAAAACAAAACAAAACAAAAAAACATTACATAACATCAAAGATGAAACAAGATTCAGGTTCTGCAATTCCAGAACAAGCCATTACATCAATTGCACGAGATGATCGTAACCCTCTATGGATCATGGAGGCCTAAATAAGCCGCACAAACGCCTCACTCAAATCCTCTAACGACTCGGGGGTTCATTGTTTTACTACGCACCGAATATAAACCGCGCCTCTACTCATCAGTCACGCATCCTGTTGATGCAGACTGCACGTTTTTTATGTACTGAAATTTAAGAAGCCAATGAAGAAATGGCGTTACAATAGTTATAGAAAAAATAATAATAATAATAATAAACAATAGCCATAGATCTTCATTTTGAGCCATAGTTTATGTACCTTGTAAAGAACCCCTTTGTCTGCCTTGTAGGGAGGGGGGCTCCAATTCTTCCGTCGCTCTTCCAATTCCTCATCTGTTAAATGGACGTCCATCCTCTTTTTCTGAATGTCTACGGTAATTATGTCTCCATTTCGAACAAGACCAATTGGACCACCTTCCTGCAAATTTTTGGATTTCACATTATTCTCAAGTAATAAGTACTTCAATGCAGCCAGCCCCCCACATAAGACATTAGAAACGAGAATATTACAACGGAAAAGAATTAATTTTTCAAATTGATTCATAAAGTAACACACCTGCGCCTCGGGACATATGTGTCCAACAACATATCCATGGGAACCTCCAGAAAATCTTCCATCCGTAAGCAATGCAACATCCTGCAATTTTTATATACGGTATTAATGAAGAAAAGCAGGAAAACGCGTATCACAAATTTTGGCCAATGCAACTTTAGCTAAGAGGTGCGAGGAAGAATCGACCGAGCAAAATAGATAACGTGCTTGTTTGGCCCAATTTGAATTTCTTGAAAAAGATATTTTCTTGAACAGTCCCAACTTTGGAACTTCTTGAAAAAAGAGACTTTTTAGCCTCATCCAGCCTTAAAAACCAAATTTATCTTTTGTGTTTAGCCCGACTGACTAGGCCAAACAAGTACATCATAGTACGCTTGTTCAAACCCACCCGCCCCAACACACACACACAAACAAAAGCAAACACAGCCCAAGAGATATAATCGATGTATATTCATCATAATGAGAATACGAACGAGAAATCAATGAACAAATAGTAAACCATCAAAGCTCAGCCTAAGCAGATCATACCTTTCCTAGACCGGCTCCCATTATTGCACTGGTTGGTGTCAGCATCTCAGGCATGCCTGGTCCCCCCTTAGGACCCTCCCCTCTAATCACTACTACTTTCCCCTGCAATAAGTAGCTCCATGAAGATGAATTGACCAGCTCTCAGTAACAAGAGTTCCAACACGGTAACACTTTTTGCAAAGTGGCAATAAACTGGATATTCCATCCAACATTCCAACTGAACAAAAAATACATGAATCTCTCACCTTAAAACTCATTGGATCTTCTGAGATAGCTGCAATCATGGACTCTTCTCCTTCAAAAACAAGAGCAGGACCTAGAGGACAAATTTTTACAATAATTAACTAAAGCCCAAAAAAAAAACCTTCAAACTGATGAAAGTAAGAAAACAAGATTCTACATGTGCACACAAGAAACATTTAATTATAACATAAAAAATACTCACCTGAGAAAAACAGTCCTTCCTTTCCAGTTATTTTTGCAACAGAGCCCTCCGGTGCAAGATTGCCATACAATATTTGAATGTGACCAGTTTCTTTGATGGGGTTAGACAAAGGTCTTATAATTTGCTAGAAAAAAAAATACAAAAGAAAGAAATGTGTCTCATCCTCAAATATCAAGTAGCAGCAAACCCAAAGAAGTAACAAATTACATCATTGAAGCACATTAAGATTGGATGGGGCCTACCTGACCTTCTGCCAAAGAAGGGAATAGCTTTGCATTTTCACCTAGGGTCTTTCCTGTGACTACAAATTAAAGAACTTACCAGAATAAGCATCTTACATGGTACACAACCAAATATTGTGATATTTAACAATAAAAGTCAAGAAATTATTACCAGTAATGCAATCACCATCTAACAACCCAAGCTCCAATAGGTAGCGAATGACAGCAGGTGTGCCTCCAATCTATGAAACAGTGTTTCATCAATTCAGCAAAGTAAATGGCAGTGAACTAATACAATTCAAAGTGATAAGATAACCGTGCAAATATTAATGCATATACCTTGTGCAAATCCTCCATGACGTATTTTCCACTAGGTTTCAAATCTGCTAGGAAAGGAACCTCATCACTGACCTTTTGGAAATCATCAAGATGTAGTTGCAACCCAACAGACCTGTCAAGGTTCTAACAATGAGTTTCCTATCTATCAGTGAAAAATAATCATAATTATCTTTACTCACCTTGCAATAGCAATTAAATGTAGAACAGCATTAGTTGATCCACCTAGTGCCATGACCATTACCATAGCATTTCGCAGTGATTTTGGAGTAATGATGTCACGGGGTTTCAAGTCCATCTTTAGTAAATCCAAAAGATACTTGCCAGCAAGGCGGCACTCATCCAACTTCAGAGGATCTTCAGCTGGTGTGGAAGAGCTTTTGAAAACCACAGAGGGAAGGGGGAGGAAGGAGGGGTTCAAATGTTAGCAATGACTCAGATAAGGCAACAGTTTTGCTGATCATATTATTGTCTATGTGTATTTCAGGAGTGCTTACACTATACTTGGTTAAACCTGGAAGGTGAGAAGAACAAGAATGATAAACTGGTGATGGTATGCAGTTTTCTGTGAACCTAGTTCTTAATACCAATAAACAATAGGCTGAAAATGGGGAAAAGGAGGCAATTTGAGACTGTTTTAAGGATGCTAGTTGTGAAGCAAAATGGTCAGTGGGTTGAGAGAGATTTGTAAAAACAAAAATGGAGATGGTTCTGAGAAAATCAGCATCAAACATGTAACTTAACTAATTAAATATTGGACAGCATTGTCAAACTGATAAGATTAGGCCATTAGGGTTTGCTGATCAAGGTGGAAGAAGTACAAAGTGCAACTTGGTTAATATATCGACCAAGGAATAATGTGGGCCTCATGGTTTATATCTAATTAATGATGTTACATGGAGCAATCTCACTAATGAACTCATCCAAACTCCATATCTTTTCCACATAATTGAGCTTTTTTGAAATATATCACTATGCAAACAGATATAATCACTTCTTTTGTACCTATAAGGAAGGGACATCCCCATTGTCTCAATAGCAGATGCCATAGTATTTGCTGTATACATTCCACCACAGGCCCCAGCTCCAGGGCATGAAGTGCGAATTACATTCATCCTCTGTTCATCACTAACAGAACCACTTACATATTCTCCATAAACCTATAATGACGGATCAGAAGAATACTTCATTAACAATGCAATGGCAAAGCAGAAGGAGAAGAGAGAACAGGGGGAGAGAGAGAGAGAGAGAGGGGTGGGGGTGGGGGTGGTGGCATTGCACTTGTAGCCCCGTATGTTTTCACCTGGAAGGCAGAGACTATGTCAAATGTGTGTCCTTGAAAATGACCGGGCTGCACATGGAATCAGATATTAAGGTTTAGCAATAAATAAAATAATAAACGTAGCAAAAAGTTATGTGATTTGATAGACACGTGTTAGATGCATCATGCATCTTATACAAAGAGACATTTGAACTTAAGGAGAATGATAATTTCTACATGTATTAGAGATCCCCAAAAATCTTATGTCAAGTATAAGCTATGTCATAATGCACACTAATTGAATATTGACTTGATGAGTGGATGCAACTGTGGGTATAGAGGACCCCAAGGTTCATTTTGCACTAAACAAATATATTACTTTCTTAACTACATTCATTGATTCATTCTAACTTATAAATTCCACATGTACACATGAGCACAAGGCACAAGCATCCAGTATATACTTATTTGCTCAAATCCACTAGATTCATAATTATTCATGTCTTTTATTCATACTGTCTGATTCTTTCTATTGCTCAATCTCTTAAATTCACGGGATGAATTCATGGATACAGGGGAGTTCTGTCAATGAAAGTTTATTCTTCCACTTTTCTCCTATTCATTTTTTTAATGAAAATGATATGGGGATAAGAAAAAGCATTTTTACTTGACAAAATTTTCTGTGGATAAAAGTAAAACTGGCTAAAGATATTGGAGGGAAGTGCTGCTTTATCCGCCATGATAATATAATAGCTTTCAACAGCAGAAATTTAGAAAATGAACAAAATGAGTCTCTTTTCAAGTAGAAAAACAAGGGTGCCTAAAAGGTAAAAGATCATTCAAGAGAGGAGAGGTGGCTATCTGACCTTGATAGTTCCACCATAAACCATGATGCTTGGCCTGTTCAGCCGCCCCATTGCCATAATTGTACCTGGCATCTGCAACAGCAATAACAATAAATTACAAAATTACAAAGACGAGATACACTGATAAATCAACATTACCAAACTAAAGAGGACATTAAGACTAAGAAATTATTTTATTATTATGAGAAAATAAATAAAGAATAAAACAAAAAAGATTAAGGAAACAAGAGTTTTCTTGTAACAACTTTGAGCAATAACACTCCATTCAAGAAGATGGTGCTGTTAGGGATCACAACTTTTATGGGGTTTTTAAAATTTATTATTATTTTGAAATTATAATACAGAGATACACAAACTACCCATCTCACAATCCCCAAATATACACATAGATAATGGAACAATGCACATACACTAACATTGATTAAAGTGAAATTGTAACTCTTTAGTTCTGTGGTGCATTATGTTAACTATTCCCAGGTTATGGTACCATAGAACAGAGAAAATGAGAAAAGGCCATCATACATTTTCTGCAATAAATTATTATTGTTGAAAAAAAGCTGAACAATTTTTCTTTATTGAGCTTAAAGATTTGTGAAAGCCTCTGCTTCTTTATTTACACAAATTACAATAAAATAATGAGGAATCTTTGGTACAGTTGCTTCACATATTTTCTTCAAAGCATATATCTTTTAACTTCTTTTCAGTTTATTGAGTCAGTAATTTTCTTGTACTACCTTAAATGAGCAAAACATCTCAAATTTTTTATTAACTAATCATGAATATATCTCCTAATAGCAAAACCTTGTGCCTACAAAGTCAAGATTCCAAACTTAAAAAAGGAAATCCCTTTTGAAAAACTGATTAGTCAATCATGTCTCTGTCAAAAGAGAGGCATATCCTCTGCCTCTGAAACATATAAAAGTTCTTAACCACGGGCCATAACTAATAAACAGAAAAACCAAGCATAAGTCCACATTTATGACATGCCACAAAATTTATCAATGACAACAAAAACAACTGATAAAACCTTAAATCAATGGAAAAAAGTCTCACATTTTTGTCACAGCCGGGGATAGATATGTTCCCATCGTACCACTGAGCAGACATGACAGTCTCAATACTATCAGCAATCAAGTCCCTTGACTGAAGGCTATAGCACATCCCTCTGGTCCCCATGGAAATGGCATCACTGACCCCAATAGTATTGAACCTGAACCCAACCATGCCGGCCGCTCCGACGCCCTCCTTCACGGCCTCGGCGAGCTTGAGCAAGTGCATATTGCAGGTGTTCCCTTCGTACCAGACGGATGAAATGCCGACCTGGGGCTTGTGCATATCATCATCCGAGAGGCCCACCCCATAGAGTACGGCCTGCGAGGCGCCCTGGGACTTGGGCTCCGTGATGCGCGAGCTGTACTTGTTGAGCTTCTCGGCGGCAGAAGCGGTCTGGGGCGGCGGCGGGACTTTTTCCGGCGCGGAGACGGCCTGGATGGTGAAAGTGGGCGGCTTTCTTTGCCGGGGCCTACATGGAGAGAAACGGGTCTTAAAGATTGGTGCAGAAGAGTTGTGGGTAGGCGCAGGTGTGAGGGTACCCGTGGATAGTAAGTTGGCTTGCATTGCGGCGGCGGCGGCGGCCGGTGACGCTAAGCCCTCCGGGAAGACAGTGGGAGAGAAAGGAATGCTTCAGTAAGTGGCGTTGGCACACGACTCTTTGGGTTTACAAATTTTAAGGGTTTCCAAATACTATCAAAGTAGGAAAAATTATTAATTTGGTAGATTGTGGGCAATGAAAATTATAAACCACTTTCCAATTATCAATTACTTATGATAGCATTCCAATATTAATGAAATTAATTTTTTATTCTTCTTACCCCACACTTATAAAATATTTGACATATTAATCAATTTATTTATGCCTTCGAATACTGGTCCATAGTATAAATCGAACTAGTTATACTATGAGCAATACAATAATTCGATCTAAACAAATCGGACTCCTGACTAACCTGTCTGTTTAATATTCTTTTTTTGAAAACCAAATGAACATACGCATTAATCAAATAGATGTGAAATACAAACCAGTGAGAAAGATTTCCACGAACTCAGACATCGAACCAGTTGCTCGTGCTAACACATGAATTATCTGATTCGCTGATCTTTTAACATGACGAACATGCAGGTTCCTAATGTCATTAGTAATTAAACGACATTGCTTACTAATTAAACCTACATACGAAAGGGCCAATGAAATGGAATTAAAGCTAACACAAAAATTTAAACAATCTGATTCTAAAATAAAATTATTGCTTCCACGATTCTTAAGCCATGTTTAATACTCTTAGTTATAATGTTGAGTGTTTTATAAAGTTATATTGTGTGTCTTACATGTTATACACATACAATTGAATATGAATGTTTATATAAATTGAAACATGAATATCGTTTACCAAATCTTTAGACTAATTGTCGTTATTTTCTATGGTGTAAAGAAATGCATAAAAATATAGTCCGCAGTACAAAACGCCATTGCACGACCTTACACTAAAATTTCACGTGTATCACCAGTTTATTATTTGCACATAGAAAATTATATAAATTGAGAATGCTATAGCAGGCCCTAGGCCCATGTATGGAACGGAAAATGTACATTTGGGTCGAAAAAAATGGGCCGTACCTATTTTGATCGACCCAATGGGCTCAAAGCCCGGTTTTATTATAGATTGGACAAGATATCTATTTGACAATTGCCATCAACATCTTTGGTTCACAAAATTCATCCAGCCTTATACTCTTGTCTCAACAATTTTAAAATGAGCAACGCTACACTATTCTCTTAAATTAATATCTTAGGGTGTGTTTGGTTCGCACATGGGAATCAAAATCAAAATGGGTATCAAATACTTGGTAATTGTTATATGTTTTTGTGAAAGTATTTTGCATGTTTGGTAGTAGGGTGGAATGAGAATGATTAGACTGAAACTCTTATAAAATAAGGGAATGAGTTTTTCCAAACAATAACAACCACTACATTGCCTCTGTAGTGAAACTCGATCCCTGATCATTCTTCCAAACTTTCACCTCTATGACCAGTTGAGCTGTCCATGCGGGTACATGCATGTTTATTGTTTAAGGAAGAGGATATGATATGAAAGCAATAGAGTTGTTATACCATGAACGGCCAGGGTCCACCTTGGTCCAAAATACACAATTTACATACTAAATGTTCACAATTTACCTTTTACAAAATTGTGAACATTCAGTATATAAATTGTGTATTTTGAACCCGGATTCAGGTCCATCGATTCCACGGAATAATTTGGCAAGGCAAGGCATGACAGGAAGGATTGCGGATCATTAAAGTAAGATTTATGACTTAAAAGGAGGAGCAAAGGGCAGCAGTGTTGTTTGCATGGGCAGGCGATTTGGCAAGTATAGTATATGGGTTGGTAACTCTAAGGGGTGGCTCTCACTTCAACTCAAATTGCAGACATAGTAAAGTCACCTCCTCAACTACATACACTACGCAAATTAAAGCTCTTCCCTCTTCCGTGGAGAACTAATGGCCGTGTGCCTTACCTAACTCGATCTCTCTAAACCTACCACCATTATATTGCTCCCATCTTGCCGGAAAACCACTTCACATCACCATTTAATTAATTCCACCCATAATAATTACAATGTTTCAACTTTCATTCAAGTTCGATTATATATGAACAATTTATTATTATTATTATTATTTTGTTTGAACTGGGCAATTATGTATAACCTAGTTATGTTGGTTTACTTTCTTATGGTACTTTGTTAGATAGGATAGATTTACATAATGCACACTTCTTCTCATTCAAAAATAATATAAATAAAAAGAATCCAAAAACTCGACCCGATCCGATATAATGAATGATCATTTTTTTTTTAAAAGGGAAATTATCAATTGTATGTATTAGTTAATTATGTACAATTCAACTTGAAGGATGAAGAATTGATTGAAGGAAAGGTTGTCCAAGTATGACAATAGTTATGCTGTGCAACCGAATGTACCATGCGCATGGTGCATACGGTTCAAAACGACGTCGTTTTGATTAAAAACGCGTGTCTCACTTTAAAAAAAAAAAAAAATCAGGTTCGACTCTTAGCAATAGCATTATTGTGGATATATAATTATGAAATTGTGGATATATAGTTATGAAATTGTGGTTATATAGTTATGAATTTATAGATATTTAGTTCATTCATTGTGGATATTTAGTTCAATCATATATTGTGGATATTTAGTTCATTCATTGTGGATTTTTACTTCATTCATTCATTCATTGTGGATTTTTAGTTCAATCATTCATTCATTGTGGATTTTTACTTCATTCATTCACTGTGGATATATAGTTATGAAATTGTGGATATATAGTTATGAAATTGTGGTTATATATTTATGAATTTCTGGATATATAAAAATGCTATTACCGGGAATCGAACCTGATTTCTTCTTTAAGTGGGACGCGCATTTTTTTAACTAAAACGGCGCCGTTTTGCAACTGTATGCACCTTGCAAGGTGCATTCGATTGCACAGCATAATTTGCGCAAGTATGATTAGAAGGCTAATAGTCTTGAGTTGCACACTTGCACGTCACTTGTTAAATTGAAAAAAATTATTATTATTATTATTATTATTATTATTATTATTATTATTATTATCTAAATTTAAATAAAAATATAATAAGTCTCAATCAATATTATACCACTGATTTATGTCCGTTTTAGTATATATGCTAATAAAGGCATACATTTTACTTTTAAATATTGTACACTTTTATTGTATTGGACAAAATTATCCCTACTACATTATTGTTAGACAAAATTATCCCTACTACATTATTGTTAGACAAAATTATCCCTACTACATTATTGTTAGACAAAATTATCCTTACACCGTTAGTATTTAATTCTGACATTGATGACTCCATCATCATTACCATACACCTATACCTATCAATCTATCCTATCCTTTCCCTATTCTTTAATTATAATTTTATTAAAATCATTATATAATTAATTTAACTTTTTTTTTTTGAAAAGGTGAGTACTAACTTAGTATTATAGGTTTTTTTTTTTTTTTTTTTGGTAATACTATCTCAACCTATTTAAAACACAAAGAGTCAATATCGCCTCCACCAGGGCTCAAACTCATGACCTCCCATTCAAGAGAGTCATTTTATGCCACTAGACCATAATGTCATTAGCTAGATATTTTATTTATTTATGTATATCTATACTATATATAAAAATAAAATCCTGAAATTTTTACTTCCCGCCCAATTCCTAAAAAATCTCTCTTCCCGATAAAATATATTGATTTCTACTTTCCCATTCGTACAATAATTCTGGGTAAAAATTCTATTCTAAAATTATAAAATAGTGTAATACAATTCCCTTTGCACATCTATTCTATACTATATATAAAAACAAAATTCTGAAATTTTAACTTCCCGGCCCAATTCCTAAAAAATCTCTCTTTCCAATAAAATATATTGATTTCTACTTTCCCATTCATACAATAATTATGGGTTAAAGTTGTGAAGTGTCAAAAGTTCGGCAAGACATAACTTTTGACTCGGTTGTCCGTTTTGGACAAATGTTTTTTTGAAATCGCGTATTTGTTCGAGATCTATCCACCGCAAGCCGTAGGCGGTTTGACCCACCAATTTCTAAAAAAATGCTTTATTAAATAGTTTCTAAGAAAAAAACTATCAGAACCTTATGTTTTATTACTGAATTTTTAAATTTTTTTAATTAAAAAATTGTTCCATGCATTATTTAATAATCTCTCTCTCTAATTGGTCAAATTATTTAATTATGGTAAATTAGGGAATAATTAATGATGGTAATAGAAATCCTAGAAGAATATAGAATTGAAGAATATTTAATTATTGTTATATTATTATTGTGCCTCACAAAATACAATACAAGAATATTTAATTATGGTTATATTATTATTGTGTGCCTCATGGCCATTATATTTTAACAAAACTTGAAAGAAACTAATAATAATAATAATAATAATAATAATAATAATAATAATAATAATAATAATAATAATAATATAATAATAATAATAATAATATAATAATAATAATAATAATAATAATAATAATATAAGTGGTAAAAATAATATCTAAAAGTAATTAAGTGTTAATAGTAATAGTAAGAATATTAACGTAAGAATTATAATATAGAATAAATCGTAATAATTAATAACTATAGTCTAGGATTAAATTTGAAATTGTCATGAAAGATAAGCGACATCTGGTAAAATTAATTCTTAAATAATTATAAACATAGTTTAAAATTCAAAATTGTTTACATTATTATTAAACAAAATATTAATCAATTATTTTGAAATATTTCCACTAACGGATTATGTAGTGCATACAAATTTTTGTCAGTGTTTGTACGTTAGACATAAATAGAAAATTCAAACATCATATTTTTATTTAAAATTGTCATACGGATGGAGAAGATCAAAGCTCAAAGCCCTCACAAACACAAATCAAAGTATACTAGCTTTGTTGACGTGAGTGATCATACACTCTCATTTTTTAAGAGAGGTGGGAAGTTCAAAACGTAATTTCATAAGAAAAAATTAATATAATAACCAGCACTTTGCTACTTAATTGAGTCAATCCAATGTGAATAAGAATTAGTCTAAGATATAGATTTAAAAGCACCTTCTATAATTAA